AATGTGTGTACATTTTTGGGACACCCTGTATGATTAAAAAGTTGCTGATTTTTATTTATGTTCTTTTATAGTATAATACTCAACAAAAAGGAGTTTCTTCCGCGGCGTTTAAAAGCTTAGGGAATTTTTTGGATATACACAAACGTTAGATTTGGCTGCACTTGGCCCCGTTTGCCCCCAGTATAGTGATCCGAACCGAACTGTCTGCTACTAAACAGCATATTGCACAGCAAGAGAACTCAGTGAACAAAATAAACAACCTCCAATGTGGGTTAAATTTTTCCGCTCAAATTTTGATATTTAGATTGCATCAGATATGTAGTCTACTGTATATGCGTCGATTGGCCTACTTTACCCAGTATCAACCGATTTTAATCCCTCTTTGTTCATTTGAAATACAATGAGGCCATCTGTGCATGAAGCTAGCACCGTTTTGAAAGCAGTCAAATTTGGCTTAGATTTGACGAATTTTCCAAGAAAATTTATCCAGGATGTCGACAATTGCAGGTATTGACGATAATTGATGGCTTTTTATTTCCCGGTGTTGTGAGTTTTGTGCGCCTACTTTTATTCCCTGTGAATGAAGAACTGTTATGCTGAACATTTTGGAATTTTATTTTCAAAATCCTTCTCTCAGTATAGCACGCCCTAATCCTTACCTTAACTCATTAGATCCCCTTCTCCAGGGCAAATCCCAAATGATCCCAGTGTTAACCCCAGCAGCATAAAAGTACCGCGTTCAGTGATCTGACGGTCGAAACTAATAGCAGCAATACATGCCTACTTATATAACGTAAGTAGCCAAGCTCATAATAAAGAATGTTGTTACACCGATTTGATAGTTATCTGAACATGCTTTTTTGTGTAGGCGTTAGAACTGGCAGCGGAAACATATCCACAATCTACTCCGGCAATAAGCACACAAGCGGCTGATCATATGTCGAAAAATGACCCTAATATGCTCGAAAAATATACTACATGATAAATGAATAACGAAATGTGCGAGTTGACGGGGAAGTTTGGATTGATCCGCTGAATCTTCAAAATGGAATAGGAAAAATCTATTTGTACCGACGCAACAGCCATGGAACTACGCGAGATTTTTGGGGATGACGTTTTTTAGATGTTTATATCAAATTAAATCTGACTAAGCGCATAGAGGGAATAATGGGTGCCAGTAGCCCAAAATATGCCTGACAGGATTGCAGGCTTGGCTGCCATATGAGGTTTTATAGAGCTGAATATTAAGAGAATGAGATTACGAAACAATATAACCAAATTAGTGGATAAGCAATTGGCAAAGGAGCAGGACGAGCAGACTAAATGGAATCGGGGTTGGAAGATCTATGCAGTTTCGTTTAGAGTACAGAGGAGATAGAGAACGAGCTGATCCCGGGTGGTCGCTTAGTAGTTAGGAAAGCGCATGTGAAGACAAAGAAAGGGGATCCTATAAAGGTGAAGTAAATTAGAGGTTGAATTATCAAGGATGAATAGCAAAATTTACAAGAGCAGTCCACACGGGTAGGAACGTCAATACAAGGACAATTGTGATAAGATGTTTAGAACAGTGACAAGCCTTCTACGTGATTTTAAATAACATGCGACTACTGTTTGTCATCGCGAATAGTAAGTACTAGATCGGGGCGAAAAGAAGGCGACCAAACTTTGGATTTACTTTCAATCTTTAAATAAACAAAATCGATAACTGAGGTGAACGATAGACAGCAAGATTGGAAGATGGGATGATCAAAAATGCGACAGACTTCCATTACTTTTTGCGAGCAAATCGTCGAAGTGAGAAACAAAATCTAGATAGCCTCGGCAGTACCCCAATTGGCGTACAAAAATACACGAGCTCTGCCCGGAACATAGCCCAAGGTATTAAATGACACATCTATTGATTAAGGGCATACTTAACTAAAGGACGTGGCAGGAAATTCTGTCTCGGCCATGAGCTATAAAACTGCAGCTACATGGAAAACCTTTCATATTCGTCTGAGAAACTCAATCAGAAAGCGCTGTGAGATTCGTGTTCATTTGTTCTATGCAGAAATTATCCATACATTTAGGAAACTATGCGCACTTAAGATCATCAGAATGAATGTTACCTCGCGACATGTAGATAGAAGAGGATAGTTCTAAAAACAATCGATTTATTCCGAAATTTTGTTAATAAAAAGGTTAATTTTAGGGACATAAAACGGTATATTCCAGAAAACAGCTAAAAAAGATGCTTGTTATAACAGGTATTTGAGGACCGAGGCTGAAGAATTTGTTAAGGCAGCAACAAATGAGGACTACGGACAGTAACGTTTCATGAATAACAGTGAGAAACTTCACAGTAGGTATGCGACAAAGTGTAGAACAAAGCTGAGTACTTTGAAAAACAATTTAACTAAATTTTCTCTGGCCTGTGACCCACGATTGGTGAAACCATCTCCTTCGTATCTACTCCCCCGGAGACCACCATCACGCTTCAAAAACTAACCCACGACGCTAATAACGTGTTGCAATGTAAGCGTGCATGCGCTTTGTCGACGAGTGGACAATCTCTGCTGCGAGAAGAAGAAGACTCGATCGCTGGGACAATGTGTTTATTCGCATTACATTGTGCAGTTTGTGGAATTTGTTCTCTAGTGCCGCTTCATGAATTGCTTGTTTGTCGCGGGCTCGTTCAAGCACTCTGCTGAAGCAGTTTTGTGCTGTCCTCACACATGAGCTCACAGTTGGTCTTCTCATGGTCAATTATCTGGCGATATTTGCGTAGTCTCGCGTGGCAATCTTGAATGACAATGGCAATCTCTGCTGCATTGCAGTAGCCAAGTTTTACGGAAACAAGCACCTTTAGGAGCTCTCCAGAACAGCAGTTATTTACTATCATTGAAAGCAACCTCGATTATTCGCGACCTTTTCTCATTTTGATTTTTGGCCTCAGGATCTCTAACCCAAACCGCCACCTCGTGCACAGAAAAGCCAAATTTAAGTGCAAGAAGGCCAGAAGACAGATGGGCGAACACGTGTATAAATTATAACTGCTTGTGGTGGAGGTGATGGAAGGGCTCCCCAAACGGTTCTAGCTGTAGTCTTTAACAGCAACTTCAGTCCCGCACACCCTCTTAGAAGGGGACAGTCAGCTTTGCCATCAGATAAAGGCTACTGAAAGACTACTCGGGAATTCAGAACTTTGCGTATGCGTCTTTGGGCTGTGTCAAAATCCCAGAACCTTTCTCGCCGAGAAAAGGCGGCATATCGACCCACATGAGTAGCGTTCGTAGATTTCATTCACGCATATATGAGCAGTTATTGCATACTTAGATATACATCGAATTCATTGGCGCAGCCCCCAACAGACACCGAGGGTGCTTTACCGATCCGGTTTCATGGTAATAAAAGTAGTAACCCTCATATCTGTCACAAATCCATTGCAGGGACCTGTGAACGCAGTTAGCCTATTGTCCTTACCAACAAAATATAGGTCATAACGATAACGGACTATCTGCTCTTCCCACGTGGCCTCCTATCCTACCCCATATAATCATTATTCCTAACCGAATAGTTTCTATCTTACATTTAAGAAGCCTTTCATAGCCACAACTAGGCTGAGTAGACCACTGCTACAATTCCTGAGCGGGGCAATGAACCTTATTGGCGACAGGCTCTGGTTCGAGTAACAAGCGGAAACGTCAGGTGAATAAATTTCTTGTTCCAGCACTCGAATCTTCCTCCTCTTCCTCGTCCTCTTTTTCTTCTGAATTATATGTGATATCGCCTAATCATTCCCATGGTCCAATCCGACTGTCGGCCTTGAGCCCTGTGAACCAAAGCACACTTTTGAGTATGCCCTCGTCGTCAAATTGGCGTCCCGGTACTTGCTTTGCTAGATGTTAGTGGTCCGTGCGACTACTATAACCTTTGATTCATTGAATTTGTGGGTGTAGCTTCTAGTAAACACTCTTAAGAAATTTATTGAGCCAGATATCTTTAGTAATAAAAATATTTATCCCAACTGCATGGACGTGCAAGCACAGTTCATTTACTGTCCTTACTAACAAATATTTAGGTCCCAACGATAACGTACTGTCTGGTGTTCCAGTGGAACCCTTATTCACCATTCCATCCGAAGCAGTTACCGATTATAATGCTCCTGTTTCCTCCCTGTCATTCACAGTATCGGAACTTGCTCACAGCATGCGTCCTTTAAAATCGTTGAAGTGTTCTTCACACTCCCACCAATCACTTCGTCAAAGGGCAAACTGTTGGTATTAGTTCAAAAATGTGTACGCTAATTTTCGATTTGCCAAAGACAGTCTTACTGACTTACAGCAAGTGCAGAAAGTCTATCGTCGTAGATTTGCGTATTCGATCTTTTGGTTATCAATAAATCTGACTATCTAATTTTGCTGAATTACGTCCCATTTTAGCCGCTGTCAATGCCTGTGAATTTGGGTTCGTCAGATGATAAAAACGACCGAAAGCATTTAGAAGGCTGCTGTTAATTAGAGACACTGACAGGGTTAAGTAAAACCACAAAGAATGATGCAACCTAGACGCCTTCCGAGCTTCCTCTAACCATTAATAAACTGGTGAGACACTCGCGGAATTCACAATCAGACGTGCAGATTTGAGCGAGGATTAGATTGCGGTATGTAGCACGGTCCAAGCAACATTCTATGCGCTTGACCAATTCCTCCAGACTACGGCCAAACAACCCTCATAAAAGGGAGCTCCGATTTGTAGGCTGACCGCTTCAGTCCTTTGCAGGCTTAAAATCGATTGGTTGGCCGGATTGGTTGGAGGATTTACAGTCCCGTCACATACGCTGCGATAGAATGCCCGCGCGTTGATAGGGCAATCGATTGGAATGCATGCTCGTTTTCGCGAGCGCATTGCTAAGCCCCCATTCCTGCTTCGTTTGAACTTTTCGTGGACGTGTTCTTTGTGTGAACTCATTCTCCTTCGTCGCCCTGTGCTACTAATTCCTATCGCTAACTCTCGTTGATATGTCTGAACGCCTATCTGACCAAACAATGCGGCGGCTTATCGACCGTGAAGTAAAGGAAATGTTGCGCCGAATAGACGAAGATGCGCGAAAAAGGTATCATTTAGACGCGTCGTCGTCCAGCGTGGAAGTTTTGGACGTGGACACGGTAGGCAACCCAACCGTCTTATACCTTTCAGGCTTCAGAAAGCGATGGCAATGACCACAACATCACGTTTCCGGATAGGTTGTCAAAGCCCTACGGTGGTAAGCCTTACTTAATAACAGTTCCGTCGTAGATAATTTCAAGAGAACAAGTACGCCCCGTCATAAAAGAGACCGATCCGTTTCTCAAGAAGGGTGTAAAACATGTAAACAACAACTACGCTGGCTTGTACAGAGCCAGCATCAGATTGTCAGACAGTTGTGTGAAGTAAAGCAGCTTCTTGCATCCTCACCGGACGAAGTGAACTTGGAGGCATCAACTAGTCCGGCCCAGCCCATTTTTAACCACATGGTAACTATGGAAGATTTCGACCGGTTTACAGTTGCGCTGGGTGACTATTCCTTTAAACAAGAAGTGGTAACTGGCTTTCTGCAATAATAACGCAGCTCCTAGATATCCTACTTGGCTAGCTTCGGTGGCGAGGAGACGCCAACATTTGTTGAACGCATATTCTCTGCACTGTTCGCAGATGAAATCACATTCCACCTAACGTTCATCGGAAGACAAAAAAGCAGTCGTTCCCTGTTCGGATCCGCGGTGTATGAGGTAATCTTCGGTACGTCTGCTGGCACTACATGCCTATCATTCGGTTTACTTTAATGAAGATGTGTTCAGAGCCTGGAATACGGACCATCGTTCAGATCGGCAGCAGCTGGAAGACGCCTTCAAAGCGGCTTTTAGGAGGGCTCGAGACCGTGCCCGCAAGCGCACACACAGGCCTCGTGGGTGGCCTCGTGGACGGTCTCGTAGGCGTTCTCTTGGTGGTTAGTTACCATAAATGTATACCTGAATTCCTACCTTTTTTGTAGCTGCTGCAAGCAAGTCGCGTGGTTAAGGTCCA